TTTTACCTTGCTTTCAACTTTAGACAACAGACTTGTATTTTAAATAAACAGAAGGCGACAGAAGCAATAAGACACATCTGGAACGAGAGACGCTCGTGTGCCCTTAAAGATGCACAGTGGGATGCACAGTATGCATAAAACACAGCGTAGCTTTAAATGTCCCAGGGGTTGAAGAAGGCTCTAAAATGTCCTTCAGTTTTCTGGTGTTGTCTGTGGCAGGCTGGAGAAAGAGCAATCCGTCCTATGATTAAGTATCTCCCATGATAAAACCCAGGGAAAACGCTTTGAAAATGAAGTCACCAAGCACATGAAGAGCCTTTCTTATCATTCTAAATGCCCATCTTCTATGCAGCTCACAGCTAGAAATCCAAACAGCAGCGTGCTGGCTTGGGCCCCTCTTCAGCTGTACTGTATCATGTCCTGCGTATAAATGTGTTTCTGTCTGGTCTCTGCCTTTTTTATGAAGCCAGTAGGATCCAACCACAAGGGGCTCCACCCTAGTGTCATAATCTAGTCCCTTCTCAGATGCCTCACCTCTAAATGTCTAAACATAGTGGGGTGGAATTCCCACCCTCTTAACACCATTATAACAGGGTTAAATGCTTGCTGGAGTTTGGAAACAGGATAGAAACCATGTTTAGACCTTTGTCTGAGGAGGGTAGAGAGGCCAGGCAATGTCACCAGACTCCCTATTTCCTCCCACATAGTATTGGCCCCCATACACCCTGGATTCCTGGGGCACAGTTCTCAGCACCCCTGCTTAGCCCCCACAGTCAGCACCTCAGGAAATATCTCTCCTCTTCTTCATGGCATTGGAAAGAGAGACCAGGCCTTCCCTGAAGCTAGCATTGAGGAAGCATTTCTCTCCTAACTTCTACCAAGACACTGTCAGCATTAAAAAAAAAAAAAAACAAAAACAAAAAAAAAAAAAGGCTTTATATCAAATGAATAAGGAAGTTTATTCTGGAGCCAAATAGGAAATAGGATGACCATGGCCTGGGAACACCGATTTAGTTACCAAATTCTGTGTTCTAACACCAGAGTGGTTTCTCTTTTATAATAATAATAAAACAAAGAAAATCATAAATCAAGAGACATTTCAAATCCCTTAGTGGAAACATCAGGTAGGTAGTTTACAAGAAAATGAGGAAATCTCTCCCCTGTTGACCTCGGATGTTATCTGATGACATTCTTGGGGTGTGGATTGATGGAGATAGGGTTTAGTTTGTTTATTCCAAAAGGACTTACTTAATGGTTACAATAATGCTGGGTCACACACAAGGGTAGGCAATAAATGGGGCTAAGATAGGTAGCTCAAGAAAATTTGTTTCTAGACATGCAACATTCCAACTCTCCAACTCATTGAGCTTCTAGTCAAAATGAATGTTTAGCAAGGGTGTGGCTTTTTTAATTTTTTTTAAACCTGGAATTTAAGTTAAAAGGATGATTGACAAATGGAAAATTGGTGTATGGAATTAAATCCATGAAATGAGTTCCAGGCTTTACCTTTCCACAAGAGCATTGACTCTCTGATGTGCTTTTGATTTTTTTTTTTTTTTTTTGATCCTGGGTTTTTATCTAAGCGTGTTTGGAACTGGCAGGGTATGGGAAGAAGGGCAAGGCTTCATGGCTGTTAAAATGCATGCCGTACTTAGAACCCAAGAGCCATTGGAAAAAACTTTAGCCTATGCTGTCCCAGGGCCCAGGGAAAGGTGGATGACATCCTTCCCTCTCTGTGAGGAAGAGAGGGGGAAAGATGACCAGACCTGGGAACTACCAGGCACTCATCCCAGAAGCAAATGAAAGTGCTGGGATGTCCATCTAAAGCCAAAGCCCCATTTAGCTCCAGCCGTGAACCCTGCTAGAGCTGGTTTTAAACTGTGTATCAATTTCTTGTCCCTGCTGTAATGAACTACCAAAAGCTTAATGGCTTCAAACAACACAAATTTATTCTCTCATTACTCCTGAAGGCCAAGGTATGAAATCGCTTTCATTGAATATGTGCAGAGCAATCTGAAACTGAGACTTCCCTGCGAAGTTTCTACAAGCAGGCAATTGGGCAGGGCTCTTTGTGGCCCTTGGATCATAATCTTCCCTCCAATTCTGAAATTTGTACTTCTCTTGTTAAGTTGGGGGATGGGTTCAAAGGACAGAGAGAGAGAGGAGAGAGAGAGAAGTTTCAGATCGATCTTTGGAGAAGAGTTTATTATCTGACAAAGCAGCAGGAGGGCAGAGTTCGGCCTCTTAAAGTCCCTTGTGAGAGAGTAGGGAGTGGAGAAAACGTTGTGGCACCAGGAAACTGGTCCAAGGCCAGCTAACATCATCTAACTAGACTTAGCTGAGGCAAGTGTTTGAGAAGTCCCAATGCAATTCCTTGATGAGAGGTGTTTGGAAGAACAATGGCCTAGTTAGCACCAATTCTCCTTGTAGCCCCAGTGCATTCTGGGCATTGCTATCTGGTAGAGCCTGTTCCCAGGAACAGGGGAGGGAACAGGTCCCCTGCCTCCTGTTTCTTACGGACTCTCTTGTTCCCTCCAATAAGGTCTCTTGGGATCCCACTGCCCCTCCCCTGCAAATAATCCAGGAGGATCAATTCACCTAAAAGGTTTGATCACAGCAGCCGAGTAAAGTGCCTCTTTAATATAGAGAGTAACATCCATCCTCTATTAGGAATTGTGGACTATTGCATCAATCAATGTATTCTAGAAATAACCTCTGAGCATAGGTGCTCATGAACCCTCCAAGAGGCTGTGTCTGGGCAGAGCTAGAGAATGCCCAATGGCTCTAACAATTTTATGGAGATGATAAAAAAAACTTGCCCATGAGTTCTGTAGCCCAAGTGAATGGGGCCAAGGTCAGATGCATGCTGGGAAGAAAGTATAGGGATTGTCACAGGTAAAGTCTAGGAGCTGGACCTGCCTGGGTGACACATGAATGCACCATCACATGTGACTATAGGTTTGTGAAAAGAAGCTAGAGTAGATGAAACAGCAAGCGACTGAGTCCCCATCTTAGGACCTCCAGGAACAGATCACAGAGCCCAGACTGGATTCTGTGAAAGGACACAAAGCCTATTCTCCTGTGCCCAGAAGTTACAGAACAGACCCAGCCAGGCTAGAGGCCAGGACGACCATGCCAAGTGACCATCTGTTGTGTGGCCTTTCCTGAGGAAATGTGATGTCTAGTCACCCTAGACAGAGTGCTGGTGACATACTTAAGAAACAGTTGTGCCTGAGTCTGGCTTGATGGACAGATGAGTTCACTGAGGCTACTTACAGGAGTGTGGGGAAATCAAAGGCAACTGCACCACTGAAAAAGCCCACCTCAGCATGGGTAATGAGACACACATCCTGATGCCCCCTGCCTACCTTGCAGGCAGAAACACTGAAGAAGGGTTTCTGCTCTTTAACTGTTGTTTGCGGTTTACATAACCTCGGGGACAGACCCTATGAATCATATAATTTGCTGAGCTTCCTAGATCTTAGGAGCCTTTCTCTCCCCACCAGGAGAAGGTATTTGAATTCAGGGGAAAGAGCTGCACCATAGCACCTGCATCATCTGGTAAACAGAGCTGTCTCTATCTGGACTGGCCTGCAGATGGAGTCACAGGGTCACCCCCATCAAGTCCCTTCCATGAGATGGGGAAAACAGTCTTGCAACCTGGTAGACTGGGTTTGAGTCTCACATGTCAGCCGTGAGACCTTAGGCTACACACCAAACCTCTCCAAACTCAGTTTCCTTGCTTAGGAAATTAAGACCAGCGCAATTAAGACCAGCATAGAAGCCTTATTGAGCTCAGTGTGCCAAGTAGGCAGAAGAATTATAGAGGTAAACAGGCTTGGTGTGGTATTAGTTTCCATGCCACAGGGAGCACTCCAGTGAACAACAAAAAAAAATCATAGAATTTTGAGTCTTTGATATTAAAGATCATCTGTTGGGGGAGCACATATAACAAGTCAACTAAATCTAGCTTCTAAGACAAAACTAGAGAAGCTCACCTGGCTGTGAGTCTCAGAGAGGCGGGAACCAGGCCATCAGGATCACAGAGTGGCAGGATGGGGTAGGAAGCCTGTTAAGGCTCCAGATGCCACGGCAAGGAGTAGAAGATAATGCAGCCACACCTGAGAATCACCCGAAGTGAACCTAGCAACTCATCTCCACTGGGACCAGAGCCAGTCACCCCACACTGAAAGCTGAATATCAGGACACACAAGCCTTTGCTCCCTTCTGTTCAGAAGGGAGATGCCAGGTCAACCTACTCTGTCTCCTCACTTGATCTGCTTGTGGCAACAGGCTGGCTAGTTATCACAGTGCATCACTATTCATTCAGAAACTCGTAACTGCTAACATGTTCATTATAAGACATAGCTCTCCCTTCTCTCCCTGAAAATGTGGCTCCTCTAAGGGTTTGGGAACCGAAGCACATCTTAGTAATATAGCCAAAATCCATCCTTTCATAGAAGAGACAATGGCCAGCTATAGAAAGGACATCATCAGCCTAGCCAATCATAACCGTGTCAGGTCCATTTCTCATAATGATCGGTGCTGCTCCTCACAGCAGAAAGTGCATATACTCTCTAAACCTGCTCAGTAAGTGACTCCAATGCTAGGATCTGATGTTAGACCCTAGGGAGATTATACTGGACCAGGTATACCTGTTAGAAACCCAAATTCTACCTTGAGGGTAGAGCTGTGTGGGGCAGGTCCTCCACCAAGAGGTTCTCCTACATGAAAATCATGGATTCAAGGTTCCCAGAATGCTCAAAGAATATGGACCAACCCTCCACCCATCAGTGGAGTGTGAGATCCCAGGTAGATTATGAATGTGTCTGAGGGGCTTTGGTGCTTCCCATTGGCTTTGAGTGTGGCCAGGTAGAGATGCAGGCATCTCTATCAAGTGTTTGGGTTGTAAATAGTAAAGCAATCTTCCCACAAAACCAGTCAATGCCTGAAGCCACCCAGACTAACAAGGAGCATGTGTCTATCTGTGTGTTCTCTAGGAACATCCCCAGGCTCCAAGATGGCCTTGCAGAGTTCCTTCACTTGTTGGAATGGGACAGTCCTCCAGCTTGGACAAGCCTGTGACTTCCACCAGGACTGTGCCCAAGGAGAAGATGAGGGCCAGCTATGCAGTAAGTTGGCAGGGGTGGTTCTGATCCTGCTCAATCCTAGCCATCCACGCCTATAGCCCTTTCATATCACTGTCATGCAAAAATAGCAAGCCTGGGTAGCCTTCCTGACACTCAATGACTTTTGTGACTATTCTCCTAGAAACATAATTCCTAAAATGTAGAGCTAAGATATGAGGTCTAGAAACACCACAGTCCTCCATGGTCAGATGTCACACCTGTTAAAAAAAAAAATAAGGGGCTACAGATATGACCAGGTGTTAAAAGCACTTGCTGCACTTACAGAAGACTGGGCTTCAGTTTCCAACACCCATACTGGATGGGTTACAGCAGCCTGTAACTCCAGTTCTGGGGGATCTGATACCCTCCTCTGGCCTCTGTGGGCACCTGCACATTGTACACATACAAACAAGCATACACACATACACAGTTAAAAAACAAATAAAAACTAACATCTTTTAAGTTTTTCTCTTGGCACCACCAGGCTCAGATGAGATGAGCAAGATGAAGGCCAACCCTGTGATGTGACATTAGACATCTCCGCCTACACAGCCCCCACTTTCCAAGCCCCTCCTTGTTCTCCCTTCCCATCTCCTGTGCACCCCAACTGCAGCCATATCAAACCGCTTTGTGGCTCCCTGGTACTGCCCTGGCTTTGCTCGAGTGGTCTCCCTGTTTAGAACACACTTCCTTTCTTGAGTCACTTCTGCTCCTTCAAGAGTCTCCTAAACAGTCCTTTCTCCCAGGAACCCTTCTTGCCCTCTCCAAAGAGTGCAACTGGTTCTCTTTGTCTTTGTATGCTTCCCACTCAAGCGGGTATATCCACTCAAAATCATTTCCAAAACTTGTTATTAGTGATGTATCCCATACACTACGTAATCCATTCATTTAAGTATATACTTCAGTTCTATAGAATAGTTTACAGGGCTGTACAACTAATACCATGGTTGAGTCTTATAACATTTATAACATTTTACCACCCCCAAAAAAGAAATGCCTTGCAATCTCTGCATTTTCCTCCAACCCTTTTGCCATTATCCCTAATTACTAATCTTTCTGTTTCTACAGCTGCACCTCTCTGAGCCTTGCATGTAAGCTAAACCACATAAAACATGTTTTTAAAATTAATTTCAATTAGCTTGGTATATTTGAAGTTCATCCATAGCATGAAACATACCAACCCTGTATTCTTTTTTATTGCAGAACATAGTTTCATTGTATGGATATACCCCTGTTTTCCCATCTACTCATTGATCCATGACTGTTTATATTGTTTTCAATTTGGTCCTGTTATAAATAATACTGCTATTAATATTCTCATATCAGTTTGTGCACAGATACATGTTCAATTCTCTCTATACGCACCTAAGATAGAATTCCTGGTTCATACAGTAACTCTACATGTAACATATTGAACAAGTGTCAAAATTTCTCTGAAAGTGGATATACCATTCTGTATGTTCACCAGTAATATACAAATGTTCTGTTTTCTCTGTGCTAACATTTGCTATTATCTGGTTGTTGTTTTTTTTTTATTTCAACCATCCTAGCAGGCATGTATTAAGTATTCATTATGGGGGTAGTTTCCAGGTCTCACTTCTTGTCTGTGGGCAATTGGATCTGGTTATCTTTTCAGTGCCAGGATCTCTCCTGATTCCTGGCACAGGGTAAGTGCTCACTGAGTAGTGACCAAAATGAATGGGTGAGTTGGGAAACTTGAGCACCATAAAGAAAAACCAACTGTTGTGGCCATGCTGATATCTGGGAGTAGCATAGAATCCCAACCAATGATTGTTACACTTGAACAGTGTCTTCCCAGCAGCTGAGCTCTCAGTTTCTGCCAGAGAAACCACACACTTACAGAGAGCCTGTAGTGAGCTAGAAAATGTGCTAACACCTACAGCACAGGCACATTACGAGGATCTAATCTGCAAAGCAGGGGAAGGCAAAGCAGGTGCAGAGAATGAAGTAGTGGACAGCCCCTCGATTAGGTTGGGAAGATGGGAGGCTGTCATGCCTGGGATGTGGTGGGGTCCAGACCAGGGACTCCAACACACAGACCACAGGCACCACTGACCTCTAAGGAGTTTTGTCAGATAGCTTTAAAAGCTCAACTGTGTTCCCCAAGTCTTCTGGACCCCCATGGAAATTAAAAAGCAGTTATATACATTCATTGAAGCGAAGCAATAGACATCCATTTTCCAATTTCAAAAAATCTTGCATTTTTATAGAAACACTCCAATGATAATGGAGTTGTGGTAGGATTTAAATGTTTGAAACAAGGTCTTGTATATCTGAAACAGGTCTCCAACTTGCTATGTAGCCAAGGCCTGAGCCACTATGGCCAGTTTATGGGGACCTGGGCCTTCTTGCTTGTTAAACAAGCATTCTGCCAAGTGATCTGCATCCCCAGCCCCTGCGGTGTGTTTTTACATAAAGCTCCATGAAGGACTGTAGGGTGGCACTTTGCTTGCCTCCACATTCTTTGTTCCCAGTCTTTCTCAGAATTCTCACAGTAAAATTCAGCCAGGCTTGCCCACAGGGTCCTGGGCAGCAGTCTATGTGCATCCGTCCAGTTATTTGTACCCAGGCACTTCCAGCAGTGCTTCTGTGCTCTGTAATTTTGCAAACGCCTTTTGAAAGTTTTTTGATATGCACTTCCCAGCTGGGACCTAGGTTATACAGGCCATGCCCTGATTTACAATTGGGAAAATGAAGGCAGGGAGAAGGTAATTGACTTGTTCAGGGTCACACGGCATGTCGGGAACAAAGCTGTGATTAGAGCCCTGAGACCTCAGGATCCAGCCCATTACTGTGGCTTGGGGCATCTCCCACTTCTCCGTAGCTTGTCATCATGGATTTCTGGAAACAGCTCTCAGCTTCAGGACAGCCAGACATGGGTACCAAGGTCAGGAGCATGGGGCCCAGTGGCCTTTTCAGCCATGTTTGAAAAGCTGCTCTGACCAGCTGTCAGAAGGACAGCTCAACCCTGGAGAACACCCACGTGTGCCACAGAAGCCAGAAGCCAGTTGCTAGGAAGGAAGGCTTCATTCAAAAAGAGAGTTTGTCCCATTTTTCCACCGGCTCTTGACAACGGTTTTAACAGATATCCTTTCTCTTGCTCATGGCCCTATTATTTCTGGCACTTCTGCTGTTTTCCCTGTAACATCGTTGATGCTGGAAGCCATCACCATGATGGGAACAGAAGCATCTGCTCTGTGCCAGGTACTCTCTCCCAGGATGAACCTATTTCATGGTCACAGAGAGCAGGAAGCTAGAGCAATCATTCGAGGTTGAACAGTGCTTCAGGCTCAGTTTGACTTCAGAGCCCACCTCATGTTCTGGAACACTGCAGGCCACACCCAGCTGTTGCATGAGTTTCTGCTTTGACTGCACTGTGCACTAAACCTTGCTGTAGACTCTCCTGGAACACAAGGGCTGAGAAGAACCAAAGAGATCCAGGGCACTACCACCACCTTACTGTGATGCAAGACAGTTCTCAGTTTCCTTATTTGTGATGTAATCCCTGTCCATACCCATGCTTTTCAGATTAAACACATTACCAAATCCAAAGGAAGCATCCTAGGTGTTTAGCCAGTGGAAAGCATCTGCTAATGCCCCTGTGTGTCCTGACCTCAAGGACATGTGACTCTCATGAAAGGGGCCAGGAGTCCCCTCCATCTTCCCCTTCACCAACTCACTAGCTATGCAGGTAGATTACTTCCCCCCCCCTCCGGGAAACCACACTCTCATCTGTTTTGTGGATATGTGCTTCCTTCTAGCCAAAACCAGGGTTGTTTTTTTTTAAGTTTATTTCTTTATTGTAAAATAAAACATTTTGGTTGTAAAATACTTGGAAGATCAAGAAAATGCACAGGAGAAAATACTATTGCCCATAATACTCCCTCTCAGACATTCCAAGATAACCATAATATTTTTGATGTATTTCTTGTAGCATTTTCCCCATGACTCCATATTTTCAAGGAAATGTATAACACATATTTATCAAAAATGTTAACAGAGTTGTCACAAGGGGAAGAGAAAGAAGTAGTGTCATTTGGCCTGCCATTTACACTTGGCAGCTTCCGTAGCTGTGGCTGGGGTCACGTCCCTGTGACTCTACCCATTTGTCTCCCTTAGAGTGGAATCAGGTGTCATAATTGCCAAATGTGGTGGAATTGATTGACCCACACATACAACTCCATTTGCCATCCAGCAGATGAGAAGCCTGGCCACAGCCCAAGAAGGGAGGCCTTGTAAGAGCGACATTTCTCCAATATGAGGTAGCCAGGCATTCCCCAGAGAGCTTGCTAAAAGACAGATTCTAACCACCAGGCTGGGTGGAGCCCTGAGAATCCATGCTTTGAAATTCGCAGGCCACCAAGGGGCACCTGGTCCCTGGAGTCCAATTTCAGTGACAAGAAGTTAAGGATTAAACCTGTTCCCTTCAGCAAATAGATATTAAAGTCCTGCAGGGGACCATGTACTCAGTAAGTACCAAGGTTGAATGAAAAGAGGTGACAATCAAAGATTGAGACAATGCTAATAGACTCAGGCTTATGGACCAGCCTCATGCTCAGCAACTGGCTGCAGCAATGATTTCCTGGCTCAGCCTAACCCATCAGGGGGTCTTTGTTTTGACAGACACCCATACCAACTCCCTCAAGAGTACCTTTCTTAAAGAGCACATTGTCCCATGTGCTTAAAAAGATGGGCATCCTCTTGGCTCCCCTTCTTTCCCTCAAGGTTTAGCTGGCACATAAACCACCATAGACCTGCCTTGTTGTCTTGCCTGTCTCCTCTCCATATATTTAGACAAAAAGAAATAGCAGCTCTAGTAGACCCTTCCTGAAAGACAGAGAAGACATGTCCCTGCCCCACAGCCTGAGGGTAATGCTAGCTGCTTATTCCCCTCCCTACATGACTTCCCCTGGTATGGGGTGTAAATGGCAATGAGTAATACTACTGCCACACTGTTTATAAATTTTGTGCAATTTTGCTTATTGGTATTACCACCCCCCTTTCTTTATCTTACCCTAAAACCAACCCTATCAAATATGAACAAATCACACACACACACACACACACACACACACACACACACACACACACACACACACACACTGCAGAAGGGAAGCAGGAGGGCGTCTAAGAAAGAAATGACTGTCTGAAGGGAACCCAACAGGAAGGAAAGGCTGGGTCTAGAACCCCTGGGTTTGCATACCAGTACTACTGTGGTGCCCATACCTGGAAGGGTTTGGGTCAGGGCATTCTAAGCCCTTGCTCTCCCCTGACTCCTCCCACCAGCCTACCCTCTGCCATGGTGATCCTTGGCTTTTAAAGCAAAGCCTGTGAAGGACTCTCCTAGAAGGTCACTGCTAGACGCCAGTTGGTGTCTGTACAAGAAGTGGATGGGGGATCCCTTGAGGGTGGGAGTAAAAATAAAACAGAAAGATCTCCTTAGCTTTTTGGATTTTTAATCAGAAGAACACGCAGGGCTTGAGGGGAAATGATTTCTTCAGGGGGGTATAAATGGGAAGAGATTCTTAGAGTCAGTGACAGCCTGTTTTAATTTATAATTCTGCCTCTGTGTGAAATGCACAGAGAATCGAGGGGGAAATGAGTAATAATTCACTAAGGTGCTGTCACAGCCAGGAAGCAGGAGGGCCCTCATCCGCCCTGCTGCCAAGCAGGCTGAGACAGAGGAAGGACATGGAGTGCAGTGGTCTCTGAGAGAGCTCCTCTCCCACATGGAGGTGGAAACACACTGCTTCCTCATGGCTCACCTGGAGCTTCGGGAAAATGTTGGAATAGCCTAGCCTAGAACAGCCCACCAGCTCTCCTAGCCCAGAGCAAGGGAAAGTGAGTTCTCATTCCTCCCCTTCTGGGGAACCCTGGGAAATAAATGGCACAGATAGCTGATATAAAGGAAGGATCATGGGCCCCCTGCCGCTGAACCTTTAGACGATAAAGAGGCCACTATAACCTGGATTATTGAAGCAGGATTGCCCAGGTGATGTTACCAGAATGAAATATCACCAAACATAGCTGCTTAAACCAGCATTTACAGCACCTGTCCACTGAGCACTGAGGCGGGCGGGGCCTCAGCTCCACAGGACCCAGGCTGGCTTTTCACAAACTAGAGCTATAGAAGGCACACCCAACTTCTGATCATCTAACAAACTGTGCAGAACTCGGCACATGGCTTCGCTTCACTGCCAGCAAACTGGGGCCAGCGAGAAATTTTGAACAATATATGTCCGTAGAGATGGGTGATTTCAGAGATTCAAACCAATCACCCCCTGCCCCAATTAGTATTCCCTCTGCCACCACCATACTCTTGTCACTGTGTCAACCATTACAGATGTATGCTATCTAGCTATACATCATCCTCTCTTGGACCATGTTCTTAGTGGGTTAGCATTAAGAGTACAGAATTGAGAAGCAGACAACATGGGTTCTAGTCCCATTGGAATGACTCTTGGCTGTTTGGGTTTGTTTAGCATTTTCTGAGCCTCTTCCTTGTCATATACAAGACCAACCTGTGAAGTTATTATTACCATTTCACTTTAAATGAGGGATCAGAGAATCACTAATCAATACATACATACACACACACACACACACACACACACACAAAAGGGGGTCATTCAGGAGGTGGGGGTCGATCTTCTCACTAGGTGGCCACCACTGATGAGGATAACTTGGTCATCCCTAGCTAATTTGCTTTGTGTTAGCATGGTTTTCCATTGTTGTGCCTGTAATGATGGTGCCCCAAATCTCTCCACAGGTAAACTTCCTGCTGGTTTTTACTGTAACTTCGAGGATGGCTTCTGTGGCTGGACCCAAGGTCCACTTTTACCCCATTTGCCCCGGTGGCAAGTGAGGACCCTAAAGGATGCCCATTCCCGGGACCAACAAGGTAACACCCTCTCTTTCCTCCTCCCTGGTGTCCACCCTAGTGTCTAGGTGGACAGATCAGAGATGTAGGATCCTGACCCAGCACACAGAGGCATCTCCTCACATGCAGTATTCTGCTCAAAGCTGGTCTGGGATGCTCACACTCAAAGCTGGTCTGGGATGCTCACACTCAAAGCTGGTCTGGGATGCTCACACTCAAAGCTGGTACACTCAAAGCTGTGCTCACACTCAAAGCTGACCTGGGATGCTCACACCTGACCTCCTCTTCATCTCTTCCTGAGCTCCAGAATTATTGAACATGTCCAAGCTCAATGTCTCCTTTTATTACTTAAATGTAGGGCTTTGATGAGGGATTAGCTGAAAACCAATGGCAATAATACCAATAAAACCATTATTTTATTCAATGCTGAGGTTCTACCAAGGGTCAGGCACATAATGCATTGGCAAATAGACATAAGCCATAGCCCCCTATATTCCTGGAAAGACTGTGGCATAGGGAGGCCTTGAGTCATTTGCCTGGTCTGTGCCCTGGGAACTTTGCCTGGGCTGTGCCCTGGGAACCTTGCTCTACAGCTGGGTTATTTCCTGTGGCCCAGGCTCCTCCTCGGCCATTGCCCACTCCCACCAATTTTAGCTGGCAATAACTGACTTCCCTCCTTGGAGTCTCTCTCACCATTACCCCTGTTCAGTGCCAGAAATACATGGCCACCTTCATTGGAGATGGCTGACACCAACTCAGACACAAGCTAGAGGGGTTGGAAACAGAGAGAGTGAGCAAGACCAGCATAGTTACCAAAGTCAGGCTGTAGAGAACTTGGGTCTACCACCCAGCCATGATTCTGTCTTGATCAGTTCCCAGTGAAAAGATGAGAGCTCCCATCTCCATAGCACTAACCATCTTCAAAATGCTGTGTAATTCATAGAGGGGTAAAGAGTTTTCTTCCTTCCACCAAGATAACTGGCAGCTCATCATCTCCCAGATTTTCAGGCCAAGTGACACTGAGGAAAGACAAGAAATTGGTCTCCTTGGAAAGGGCACAGGCCACAGGATGACCTGAGTGCTAGAGCAGGGTGAGGAGAGTAAAGGTCATCAGACTATTGGAAAGCAAGGGCTGCTGTTGACAGTACATGAGTCCACCCTAGCTTCTAGCTGCTCCTGGGCTAAAGCTGATGACCTTGAGAATGTAGAGATGTAGTAGCCGTGTGCATGGTGCAGGAACCTCCTAGGCAGTTTGGTATGAAGGACTAAGCATGAGCCGGGGTCCTTATCCACTGTAGGCAAGAAACCAGCATCCTCAAAGATATGCTAAACCAGACTCTGCATAGTCCACTAACTGTACACCCTCAGTGCATAGTGTTAATACATTTATTCTCTTCCTTCCTCCCCAGGCCATGTCCTATTGCTCAGCACCACTGATGTCCCCACTTCTGAAAGTGCAACAGTGACCAGTGCAACATTTCCTGCACCAATGAAGAACTCTCCTTGTGAGGCAAGTGTCTGAGATTCCTCTCGGTCCCTGCCTTCTCTTCCCATCCCTTGGTCACTTCTAGATGATTGAAAACAGATTAAGAAAGTAGCTTGACCATCTGGATTTATCATGGTCCTGTGGGAAGACAAGAGAACTGTTTCTGCCATGTTTATGTACATGATATCCACCCACACCGTGAAGACCCATCAGCAGAGTCTTACCTTAAATGCCCATCCACACTCAGCTGGACCATACTTTGACAGTAGGACCTTGATTTAAGCAAACCCGAGAAAGTATTCCTTACAATAGACACAATAGAGAAGAGTGATAAGATTTACAAATCTTTCTTTAAAATGTGTTTTTAAAATATCAAGCTCTTATAAATATATTTGAACACTGAAAAGCACCAAAAGATTTTATTTACATAATTTCACTAAGACATCACTGGCATTCAGTCAGATACAACAAAGCCACTACCCAAGTGATTCCTGAAGCTGTTGTCTCTTGAGTATAAGGCATTGAGGTCTGGTGACACGTTCTTTAACATATGGGTCAGAGTCTCTGGGGGCCAAGAAATGCATGTAAGACTTACCTGTACACACAGTAGCACAGTGTACTCTATCAAGGACCTGAATCTGAGACAGCTTCCACATTGACTTCCTGTACCATTTGTCTAGGCAGCTAACTGACCTCTTGGGCATCGGTTTCCTTACCTGGAAAGTGGAGATGCTATTATCTGTACCTGGGCTAGCCCACATAGATAGGATTGACCAGGTTAACACATGTAAGAGGCTTAGGAGACCATGGGAACAAAGATGGTACTGTAGTCACAGTGCTACTACAGTGCCTGGAAACCTGTGTGAACACAGGAGTCTGGGCTAAGAGGGTTTTTGCCAGACATGAGACACAGAAGACAGGTCATACCTGGGGACATTTGTACACCCCATGGCTCCTACACCTTCATCTTGCACACAACAGAAAGCCAACCCAGAGCTTAGATTCAGCCCATCCTCTTTGTGGAAATACACAGAAGAAACTCCTGTCTGACTTAGCTTTAGCTATGCACCCTCTAGGTAACTTGTTTCCTTTCACTCTGGAGTCATTCTAAAACTATCCAGGTTTGCATCCTCTCTTTCAGCTAGTAAAAACCCAGGAAGGAAGGCTTTAGCTGGCAGAAGTACACAAAAACTCCACCATAAAACAAAGAACAGAAGAGGCATGGGAATGATTTTTTTTAATCAAATGAATGGTTAAAGCAGATATTTCCCCTTAGAAAGTAAACACATGTGTTTGTAGCTGCCTGACTTTACAACTATGCATGGGACCCATGTTTCTTACCCTCTTCAGTTTGCATCATCTTATCAGGCTTTGTGCATCTCTGGGCCACCTAAACTTCTTTTTGGAAGAAGTCTGGGCAGAAATAAATAGATTCATTAAAATAAATTGTATTTGAGAAGCCCTGGTATCTGGTGCAGATGGTAGAATTGCACGGCCACTGTTGATATGCCTCAGAGCAGGTACAAAGAGGGGAAGGCTTCTTGGGAGGAAACCTGAATGAAGACAGATGGCTGGCCCACCTGAGAGGAAAGGAGGCACCTTAGGAGCATTTGGTCTTTAAATTTATTCTTTGCTGGGTTTAATATGGGCCTCATTTCAGAGGAAGAAATGTCAAAGCAAAGCGATATTTTCCTAATACTCTGTCACTTCTATGATAACCTTTGAGTTGATCAATAGCTGAGACAGGTTTCCTTGACTTTCTTTTTCCTCCAGTTGGATTTGCTCTAGGCTGTTTCTGTTATTTCCTGCCCTTTTCCAGAACTTGGCTGAGCGGGCACAGGGAAGGGAAGGAGTGCATCCCCACCCCCACACTCACATCAGTCATGTCTGTGTATGTTTATGCTACCATGACTTCATAGTCAGCTTTTCAGACCATCAATCATCTATGGTTGATGGGCTCTCGGCATTAAGAGCAGTGTGTTGTTGTTATCATCAGGGGTGGGGTGACAAATAACCAAAATAGAAATGTGTGTGTCACCTCTGTCACTCACTACACCCAAATCTTCAATGCAGGAGCTAGGAACTGGATTTCTTTCTTCCAGGGTAACTCCAAGAGCAGGGACACCAATGAACGATATATTGCTGTGCAAGGCCATAAGGTTGACTCGGGTCTTTAATGTCACAACTACTAAAAACTCTGCCCTAGATTAAGAGGGCTAAATGCAGGCTGGAGAGATGGCTCAGTGGTTAAGAACACTGACTGCTCTTCAGAAGGACCCAGGTTCAATTGCTGTCTGTAATTCCAGTTCCAGGGGATCCAACACCCTCACACACATGCAGGCAAAACACCAATGCACATAAAATAAAAATGAAGAAGAGGACTAAATGCTAGGGGTATGGGAGATATCCCCAACGAGGGACAGATCCACAGGGACTGGTATCTTGGTTGACCTCAACTTCAGGATTAATACCTAGTATAGAGTACCTTCTCTACAGATACTCCACATCCTTCAGTGGGTTCCCACAGGGAACTGAAGTCCTCTTTGACAAACTCCCTTGAAATCCAGGAATAGCCGACCATTAAGTCTATGTTTCTCCACTTGTATTCACTTGGGAAATGGACAAATGGGGTTTCTTGGAATCCACTTTGGCTTCCTGAAAGATATGACTGAGGCCGATCTCTGTATCTTCAATCTCCATCCTTGATGATTTAGTTGCTGGTACTGGATCTTGAGGGTTTTTTGTTGGGTTCTGTTGTTGCTGCTGCTGCTGCTGCTGCTGTTTTGGCTGTTGATGTGCCTGCCAATAGCAAGCAGAATCCATCCTGAGTGCATGCAGAACTTCCCCCCAATACCTTCCACACCCAAACAGGGTAATGCATCTTGCCGCTTAGAAACATGAGTCAGAAACGAAGCTAGAAATGGTGTGGTGGAAACAGAGGTAGAGGAGGCAGAGGGGCTGGAAGGGCATATAGAACCAGGTCCATGCACACCAGTAATGAAGACGTAGCCAGCATGGGCCTTGTGCCAACCCAACTTCCAGAGCTTTCCAGAAGCCTTCCAGCTCTCATGTCCTCCCTCCGGCTACCTGCAGCCACTCCTGCTACCTCTCTTGCCCAACCAGGACCACAGGCACCACCTCCTCCTGCTCTTTCCACAGTTGCACATAAAGCATGAATATTTAAAGACCCTGCCTAGCCCAGCCACAAACAGAGAGAGCATTGTGGCTTTTTTCAGTTCCCCTTCCCCGCCACAAGCTATTCTCTGCAGGAAACTAGGGAGCCACTTACAATATATTCTGATTTTTATTTTATTTTTATTTTTATTTCACTGAGCTCTGGTTCAAATAATTAAAGTTGCCACGGGGGAGGGAAGCCTTGCGGTGGCTTTCATGTGCTTGCTTGCTGTCAGGCCCAACCCAGTTTGACTTGGCTCTGAGACATTCCAATGTGTCTAGCATTGCAGCTGCTGCTAACACAGAGGAGGACAGGAGAGGAGTAGGGCCTGTCCCACCCCTCCCCCTGCCTTTCACACATCCTGGAAGCCTGACTATCTCAACAAGCCCTATGCGGTTTGAAATTCTGTTTTATTTGAATAGCCTGCCTGTGACTAGAATATTTTAAGCTATGTTCTCAGGCCAGAAGGCGGCCTGGGGCGGAAGAGAGTAGGTTTCTCTCATTCCTTCTGCCCCCAAACATGGGAACAATTTTTCCTTTGTGGGAATATGCAGGAATATGAAGGGCCCAGGAAGATGGGTGCAATGCATCACCTTTTGTGAAGGTCAGTTCCCAACTGCTGGTTTTCTAACCTTGCCAGAACTGCAGCATGAGATCATGTGTATACATGGGCACACATACAAACACACACACACACACACACATCTGGAACACATCCAGACCTTCCCACCCTGAGGTCAGCCCCAGAAATGAAAACAATAACAATCATAACTTTAATTCACTGCTGGGACAGCAGAGTTCAGGCAGAAGGTCAACTGTGGGGTTCTGCCATGTCTGCGTGTGCTCTCTGCCCGAAAGGGAAGGAGACCCACGCTCCGTGTCATTAAGACTAGTGAGTGTGACCTAGACAGATGTGGGAGAGAAGACTGGCATGGCGAATTCCCTTCTGCCATCCTTCAAGCCCACACCCTGCTGAGAAACAATACCTTATGATATGGCAACAGTCCCATAGAAACTGTGGAACTCTCCCATCAGTTGCTCTCTGGTTTAGATTTTTTAAGACTTTTCTGGTGACCATGCATGGAATGATAGCCCTTCCTTCACCAGAGCCTCAGTGTGAGAATCAGCAATGTTGACTGGACACAATCAAAACTGCCCCCGTGGCTTCCTGAGCAGGCAGGCAAGGAAACACAGAAGGACTCTCCTGATGTCCGAGTTTTCAGTTTCTCAAACTTAATGACAAAATCTCCTATGGAAAAGTGAGGGGGAAAAAGGAGGGAATACCAAGAATAGAGAGGTTTGAAGCCGAGGGAGAAACTAAAACTGAGGGGCTCAGCTGCCCCAGAAGTGAATTAAAGTTATGGTGACTATTACTGTCTTCATCAATTGGGCTGACCTCAGGGTGGAAAGGTCTGTATGTGTTCCAGGACACCTGACACACACACACGCATGCGCAGTGTATGTATGCAAGCATGTGTGTGCTCACATGCACACAAGAGCCAAGAGCTGATAAAGCCCATTTTGGACTGGCCTCAAACAAGAATGAGTGCCAGGACAGGCTCCAAAGCAATACAGAGAAACCCTGTCTCGAAAAACAAACAAACAAACAAAAGCCCATTTCAGAGTGCAGATTCTATACATATCCATGTCAGGGTCTTCTCCACCCATGATCCAGGTTAGGGTACATGCCAAGTTCTCCTTGGCAAGGCAAGAAAGAAATATACCACAGCCCCAAAGCAACAAATGCAAGTCAAGACCAACACCAGACCCCCTGAGTCTGAGCCCCACAGTACTGATGATCCCGTCTTAGCTTAGAGTGAGCTGATCTGAGCCACTAGAGGCATGACAT